ACATAGGCCCTTGCTGCCTGCCCTTCTGGCACCGCCGGAACAGTGCGTCCCAAGCTGTGCTGGGTGGGCAGAACGTCACGCGGAGGCAGTTCCTTCCTCCCGCGCCGAGTGCCGCTCGGAGCCTCTGGGCGTGCGGATCGCGGGGTGGGTGCTGGTGCCCACGGCTCTGCCTCAGCCTCGCCTGTGCATTGCTCCCCCAGTCGACCCGAAGAGCCTTCGACCTGGAGTGGCTACATGGGGAAGATGTTCATGGCCGCTTCCAACTACCTCCCTGCCCAGGTGTCCGACATGATGAATCAGGACAGGGCGTTTGCCACCGGGCGTTTGAGTTTCTCTGGACAGAGGAACATCTGCACCCTCTCAACGTACGTACGGCGCCACCCACTCCCAACAGTGTTGTTACTAATTTATTTGCCCAAAGCACAAACTCCCCAAACGCATGCATAGAAAAAAGGAAAGAGAAGACGGCCAAGAGGGAGAGTGAGCAAAACCAAAACCCACAGACTCCCGTCGGCTGCTGTTCCTGTCTGGTGACGTCTCCTGGGCGGGAGGGGGCAGCTGGACGCTGGCGTGGGAATTTTCAGCTTCAGGTGATGATGATGGTGTCTTGAGAACAATTCTGGTTTTACATCCTTATGTAAAAAGGCACTCATTCCCATGCCTGTGTTCAGACACCTGTGGGGTTAGGAGATGTTTTAGCTAAGAAGTGAAAGAAGTAAAAACATTTTAAAAATGTGATAACGTTAGCCAGCAAAGGTGGCGAGCCAAACTTCCCATTTCTTCCTGTTCTGCCACCGTCGAAGGCAGAGGTGAGACAGACACAATGTCCCGTTCAGGTGAGCTAATGCTTTTGTCGGCAATAGCTTTTCAGAGAGTAATGGTGTGTACACACATCATTTTGCCTCTTCAAAGACGAGAATTAATCCTCAAGGTAGATCACTAGGTCCGAATGCAAAGAAAGAGCCAGAAGCCCAGAATCTGGGGTCAGTGGGCTGAGGGTCTGCTGGTGGCAGAAGCTGGTGACAGTCAGGGTGAGCGAGGCTTTGTCATTTGAAGCTGGTCTGTGACCCGTCCTTGTTGTAACCACAGCGCCTGTTTCCCTTGGCTCGTAGGATCCAGAAACTGCCGAGGCTGTTAGTTGCGTCATCCGATGGACACCTTTATATCTACAACCTGGACCCTCAGGACGGAGGGGAGTGTGTCTTAATGAAGACTCACAGGTGAAGTGACTGGTTTCAAAAAGACAGCCTTTCAAGAGCCGGGTGTGTAGAGCTGTCACCTGGCCGAGCACGATGACACGCTTCGGTGCTCTTGCTGTCCTTCTTGAGCCGCGACCCCGGTGGCGAGCCTCCAGCGGGCCCCTGCTCCGGGTCGGGCTCATTGTCAGGCGTCCTCACCATGCTGTGCGCTCCTGGGAGAGTGCCAGGATGAGCCACCACCAAACAAAAAGTCCTCCTCGGCCCTTCCTCCTCACAGCGGGTGCTCAGAAACATTTACCGAGTTAAATTGAAAAGTTCTCTTCACTGCTGTGACCAAGCACTGCATGACCTCTTCCTGCTGTGCACAGGACACTGAGCTGCTACTGTCCCCTCCCCCACGGAGCATCCCTTGCCTGCCTGTGCCAGGACAAGCAGAGGATTGGTCTCCCTTTATTAAATACATGGAAAATACATGGAAATACACCTGTGAAGGTGCATGGCGGACCCAGGCGATCTCAGGTCGCTGCAGTTCACAGGGCCCCAGCAGGGCACCGAGAGGTCTATCCTGCAAACCCAAGTGGCCAGGTGTGAGCTTCCTAGTGCCTTTCCCCCTGGAGGCATCCTGGATATGTGATGATCTTTTTTCTTTTCTCTCTTAAATGCTGCAATTAGGTTGCTTGGCTCAGGAACAACAGAAGAGAATAAAGAAAATGACCTCAGACCTCCATTACCTCAGTCTTACGCAGCAACTGTAGCCATACCAAGCACATCTTCCGCCTCCACGGTGCCAGGTGAGCAGACGTGGGGGCACGAGTCTAACGGTGACCTCTCCCCCACTTCACTGTTACCCGGGGATGCAGAGGTCACGGGAAGAGCCTGCAAACTCAGGTCCCTAAACCTGGCAGGCGTGGCGGCACATGCCCCTTTCCCTAACAAGGTGAGAATCTGCAAACAGGTGGGAAGCTTCAGGCGCCTGGGTGGAAGGAGGGTGTGCCCAGCCCGCCTGTCTCTCAGAGGCCGAGAGACCATCGATGGTGGGGACTCTGACTGTCCTGAAAGGCGAAAGTGGCCTCCATGGCTTCCCTGGACTCTCCCTTTTCTGAGGCCCTGCCCCGGCGTCTTGGCACAGGAAGAGACCTGTGGCTTCTCTCACGTCTCATTCTTGGTTTCCAGGTTACTCTGAGGACGGCGGGGCGCTCCGAGGAGAGGTTATTCCTGAACACGAGTTTGCGACGGGACCAGTGTGTCTTGACGATGAGAATGAGTTTCCCCCTGTGAGCATTAGGAATCCTTAAAAGAGCGGCTCAGTCTAGACGCTTCGAGGGAAACCTCCACCTCGTGCGCGGGGCGGAGGCACTCTCCCTGTTCGCTAATCTAGAACAACTAATCCTCCTCTGTACTGCTCAGAAAGCCATAGAGTGTGGGCTGTGCTGTGCGCTGCCGATTCTACAGACTAGCCATCAGGGTGCGCGCAACACGACAGCGTTGGAGTAACTGAATACTAATCCAGGGGGTCTCCGTGGCCTCGCTTGCTACCTTTTGGGGCCTCAAATCCTTGACTTTGCTTCTTAGCACTATCTCAGCTGCTCCTAAGGCAGGAACTTTTGCCTGTGTGCACTCTTATTTTTGTGAGGCTCCTAAGGGTGCTTTTGCAAACTGCTTCTGTCTTTGGACTAAAGATGATAGTCTAACAGTCCTGGGCCCATGCTCTGTGGGCACACTCCACCCTCCAGCTCTGGCTGGGCAGACCCCAGCCTCTGCAGCAGCTGCAGGCCCCCGTTCATTAACGGCTGCGCAGAGAGCGCCGCCCCTGGGAAACACCGGCTGGGTTTCCCAGCATCCTGCTTTGGCTGTGCTGGCAGCAAAGGCCCCAGGGTTGGCTGGGCACTGGGCTTGGCTTCTTCCGGCATCTCTGTCTGAACAGAGGATTCTCTCCCTGGGTGGCTGCCACGGCCTCCTTAGCTTCTGATTCTTCAAGCTTCCATGTAGGGCACCATGTGGATGCCCCTGGTGAGCATCAGTTAGAGAACACCCCAGAGGGTCAACCGGAAGTCATGCAGAGACAGAAGCAGTGTTCGGGCTGGGACTTGGAGAGCCACCTGAGTAACCCTCCCGGAGGCAGAGACGTAGCCATGTGGGCTTTGCTTCAGTGCCCAGTAGGTCTTGGTGTGCCCTCTTTTCTCCTGGTCCTTCCTTTGTATCCGTTGAGATTCCTTTTGCCAAAGGACGGAGTGAAGGTCTGGTCCCTTGTGCGTGAGTGGAGTCTCTTGTGGCTGTGTGGGTTCCCACGAGGAATCTCCGCTTGAGATTCACATTCTGGCCCTTAACAGGCATATTGCCAAATGCTTTGCCAACAAGTAAAGTTTATATTTTAGGGGTGGAAAGCAGTAGTTCTTAAAAGTACTGGTTATAAATTCAAAAACATCTGTTGGCTTGCTGGCTCTCAGAGTACCAAGCTTTTTTGCCTTTGGATTCTCAGGCCCCAACTAGCCGTAAAGGGATTTTTTCTGTCACCCACAAGTTGGTGCTTATTTACCTGAAGGTGCATCTTCCAGGGGCCAGAGTATGTCAGATGCAGTTGGGGATAAAAGAGACTATTAGGTTCCATTTCAGTAATTCTGGTAAAAGTCTGTGACTGCTATAAAAGGTTATTATATTCTTAACTAGAATCAGAGCAGGCCTTACAGCCTCTTATATTTATAGAATCTGGGTAGTTCAGATATCGGCGTTCAGGTGGTAGTCTCTTGCCAAAGAAAACCTGCATAAAATTATAGGTATGCTATGTAGAGCATTTGTCTGGAGTTTAAAAAAAAAATCGAAGATGCTTAAGACCTAGCCCCACGGCCTGCTCACCTGCGCACTGCCAGCAAGCTGTGTGCGAGCCAGCTGCCCTGTGTCCCTTGTGGACCAAAGGAGGGAAAGCTGGCTTAAATTCTGGCAGGGGTTGTGTTCACATACAAGGAAGGCTGCCTGCGGTGAGATCACCGAAAGCGGTCCCCTGGAACGACTGTCAGGCCCTGGCAAGTGTTGGGCAGCCTGTGTGCAGAGCCAGTGGTGTGTGTCGCAGAGGCCACCAGACCCCCAGCCTGAGCTCGAGCCTGCGGGTGACAGTGAGGAGAGGGCCAAGCCCCTGACACCGACACGGTAGCAGACAGGTTTCCCCATCTCGGCGTGCAAGGTTCAACTGGGACGTTCTCTCCGCGTGGACCGGCTCGGTCACGCCCTTCCTGGCTGTAAGACTCAACTGCAGATGCTAGGGCAGCTTTCTCTCTGCCTTTGTCCTCCTGTGCCTGGTGTAGAAGTGTCTGTCCAGAATTCATGTCTCTACCTACATTCCTCAGAAATGTCCAGGATTATGAAAGAATCTCGGAGCCTCAACTTGGCTAAAGTCACTTCTGCAGACACGAGTGTGGGTTGACCTGGGTAACCTCCTGAGGGGCTCCAGGGGGCTTTACCTTAAGGGCATGGGTCATCACTAGTGGTCTTTTAAAAAAATACTGACCCTTCCTTGGATATGGTCACTCTGACCTCCTTGGGATTTACTTTGCTCCGACAGCAATGAAAGAAAAGAGAACTGATTGTTTCTGGTACCTTAGGAAGATGCAGAGTTCAGGAGGGTGGGCGACCTTTGTTCCAGTGACAAGCCAACCATGACAAGTGGGCACACCTTCTGACACGAGCCTTACTTGAGTGAGCAAGAGTAGGGGGACCGGGACCGGGGCAGTTACTGACTTTTTAATAGTGATGTAGCGGTCTGTGTTTACAAGATGAGCCTTTTTTAAAGAAATCCACACATACATATGAATACACACACAAATATTTTATATATAGTCAGTGTCTCCTGAAACTGGGCCAAACTCGCCTACACCTAAATAGGACAGGTGAGTTTTCCGTGGTGGAGATGCGCGGCCTCCCCCGCCAGCCCCGCACGGGCACAGATCTGTTCGTGATGCAGCCTGCCTAACAGCCTCTTCCTGGAGAGAGTAAGGCCATTCTGTTTTGATTTCGGTAGATAATCTTGTGCCGTGGAAGTCAGAAGGGCAAAACGAAGCAGTCATGATGAGAAGCACACCTCAGAAATCAGGACACCCCCTATGAGGTGGTCTTGGAGAAAACAAGGAAGGTGGAAGAATGGAGTGCGATTGTGGGCGCAGAATGGGGGGCAGGAATCCCAGGCGCCGCCCACTTAAGCCACAGGACGAGGCTCACTGCTCAGCAAGCCCTCCTCAGCCCTGGCTGCCAGTGGGTACGGGAGACACGGTATACACATCCTGCTATTTAAAATATATTACAGCCATTATGTCAATACTAACTAACCATATTGGTCTATATGGGATTTTATATTAAAAAGGGGCATCCTTTTTAAATGTATGCTGTGTAAAAATGTACTTATAGGAAAGTGTCTTCAAACTGTATTTCTTGTATATTACATACACAGAGGGAGAAACTATTTTAGCCAAGCAAAGTATTGTTTGCAGTGATTGGGATAAATCACTTACTACCTTTGAGTCCCATTTAGGACACTAATAATAAAATCATGGCAATGCAGTTTTGAGGCTCTCAAAATGTATTTCTTTGTGGTTTTAGGAAGCAGGAAGAACTCCTAAGGCCTTTAAAATACAGCCATCTGACCTTTAAAAGGGGGTGGGGGCGGTGGGGAGAGCCATGGACTTATCTGCTTGGAGCCCTGGACACATCTGAGTTTGTCTAGGCAGCATCCAGGCTGCTCGAGGCCCCGCCCCCCACCCCAGGGGTGTCCTAGACAGGGAGGACCTCGGGCCCCAGCCCAGACCCGCCAAGTCAGAACATGTCCTGTCACAAGCTCCCCGGCGGTCTGTGTGCGCATGCAAGATGGAGAAGCGCTGCTCTAGGGGCCAGGTGGAACAAATCTCTGCTAAAATGACCAGTGAAACCAGATGCATTAGGGAAAAAAAGACTAAACCATATTGAGTGCCTGCCTCAAAGGTCAGGTAATAGGCCAGACATTTTCATGTGTCGCCTGGTGGAATCCTCGAAATCAGCTGGCAAGTTAGGTTAAGTAAGGGCCCGAGTCCAAAAGCTGGGGCTTGACCCTGGTCTGACTCGAGCCCGTGTGCTTCCCATCACAGCTCTTCCCAGTTGTCCTCTCAGGCCTTCAGCGCAGCAGGGACAGTGGGGCATGCAAAGTGGTGGCTTCCAAGCAAAATTCTGAGACTCATTTTTAAAGCGTAAATAACTGTAAAGAGGGTAAGACCAAAGTTAGGGTGTGAACTTGCCCATCTCACTCCTGACGTTTCTGCTCGCGGGAACGTCGGTCGGTCTGGGAGGCGGTTCCGCAGCGGCAGGCAATGTGGTGGGGATTACAGCAGGGAGTTGCCGAAGGGTCCTGCGTGTAGTCCGCTTTGGAGATGTGGTCATCGGCAACGTCGCGAAGGACGTCTGCAAGAACCTCTCTGACCCTGGGCAGCACGCTCTGGTATTCGGTGCTGCCCGTTTCCAGAGGCGCGGCCTCTGCACCGTCATCTTCCAGACTAAAAATAAGCGGAGGCTCGTGACGCTGCTCGGGCCCCACACTCCCATCACAGGCTTTGGCTCCACCTGGAGAAAGGGCAACAACGGACCCCTGGTCAAACCCAGCACCAGCCTCATACTGCGGGAGGGAGACCTGCGACGGACTGTGCGTGAGCTCACACACACCAGCACCTGACGGTCCCGATGACTGCGCTCCCTGTCTCAGAAACCACCCTGAGAATCTAAGTGCCCATCCCACGACACTCCTGTTGTCCAGAGTCACGCGGAACTTCCCCTTGGACTTGCCTTCAGAGCCAGCAGAACATTCATTCAAGTATCTTTCATCTCTGCCCTTGGGGAGTAAATGCGTTTGTTTGTTCTTTAAATTGATTTCTTGGGTAGCAAATATATTCGATTTAGTGTACTAAGGCAGGCAGACAAGGCAGCTAATTTCACTTTGGGCTGCAGTTGAGATGCTCGCATGAATTAGAGCCCGGCTGTGAAGGCAGACCCAAAGGGGAGTGGCAGAGGTTTGGAGGGGGGGCAGCATCCTCCGTTCTTAATGATTCGGGTGACTTTCCTTCGTGATGTGTTTGGCTTCTCCACGCAAAGGGGTAGTTAAGGCATCTGACAAAAATGAATATAATACGATTGAATCCACAAAGGACAGCCCTTGGAAACACAGGAGCTCCTAAAGACCTCCTTGGACTCTAGCTCCTCCACAGCCAAACATGAATAAGTTAGAAACTTAAATGCAGCTGCTCAGGGGAAACAGCATTTTCTGGCTCTGAGGTGGGACAGGACTTCTTCCACTGGCCCCACATGCGTTCTCATGAGAGCACAGCTGTGTGAATAGCATGGCCCAGCGACGACTCCTTCCCATGCACTTTAACAACAGGATGACGGCACAACATCAGACGCAGTTCATTAAAAGCACATCCACGGGGGCCAGGGCCGCGCTCCCGAGGACGCAGCTTTCCTTCTGGTCCAGTCTGCACTGGGGCAGAATTTGAAATGTTGCGTGACAACAATGGGGAGATCGCATGCCCTTTCAGACCAGTGCACCATGGTTTTCCCCCTGTGACTGAGATTCAGGTTGTTCAGCAGGGCAGGAAAGTTTATTGCCTGGTTGGGGGTCAAGTTTAGCTCTTCTTCACTGACAATAAAAAGCAGTCACGTGAGGTTTGGCAGTCAGTCAAGCGAACGTTGGGACTGACTCCTCATAAAAATCAAAGACTTCCAATTAAGGGAATAGTAGGGGTGGCTTGCACACAACTAACACCCCTATCAATAACAATTATGCATTCTGGGCAACATATTAAAAAAAATTGAAGGCACTATTTATTTTCTAAATAACCACCACAGGCAGAAACTGAAAGGGATTTGATCCTTGAAGGGAAGAAGCCATGCTGGGTTGGGACTGTGTTAAAGTGTTCTCCCCTGGCAAGGAGCCCCTGCCGCCCGCCCCTGTGCACCCCAGTCTGTGAGCGCACAGAGCAGCTACGCCCCAGGAGGAAGCTGTGGTCTTCGTGACTTGAAGTGTCAGGGCTGCCACAACAGATGAAAGCTGGTGAGCAAAATCCTGGCTAGGAGGGAGCCAGCGAGGGGAAGCGTCCCAATCTGCAAATACATGCCTTTAAAATCCCTGGCTGAGCCCTGAACTCGGCACGCACAGGGGAGCCGAGCTCGAGCAACAGCTGTGAGTCTGAAGAGCTCAGCAGGCATTTCTGTGCTGCCCGCTGCAGGGGAGATGGAGTTGGGAGTGTGAACTCCATGAAGTTAGAAAGGCTTCGTAAACATTTCATATTCTCCACGGATGTCCCCAAAGGTTCATACTAGGAGTAAAAACCATGTCCCAGGATGGAGGCATTCACCTAAAGTTAGGGACCAAAGCTGAAAGAGCCAGTTCTCACAAAGCATAAGGCCAAGCCTACACAAGTTCAAGGGGACCAACTACTAATTAACTTCCCGTAACAACAACAAAAAAATAACACTCCTTAAATTACAGAAGTCAGAATCTCTATGATGGGTCACCCACCATGTCCAGTGTTTTTTTTAAACTACTAAGTAGGAAACTTCCAGTTTCTAGCCCAGCATGTAAGGAACTTAGAAGTTGTGACTCCACCCTAACAACTGAAAATTACTGAACCAACTAAAAAAGCAACCGCTCTTCTTAGACCTGTCAGAGAAGTGAGGTCACAGGGCCACCTGGCACCCCCAAAACTGCAGACACGATGAATAAGCAGCACTACAACACAACAGAACAGACACCCCCCCTCCTGGGGACCAGTGTCCGGGGCGGGGAAACCTCAGCTGTAGCTGATGAATTGCTGGAGACTGAGCTTGCACAGTCTGGGAGTAGAACATGCCACAGGCCCGTTATTTCTGAGATGGAAATTCTAAGAAAGAATCAAAAAGAAATGCTAGTGATCAAAAACCCTGGGACAGAAATAAGAATAAGAGTGCCTTCGATGGCTCATCAGACTGAACCCAGTTGAGAAAAGAATCTCTGAGCTTGAGGATATCTCAAAAGAAGCTTCCAAAATAGAAAAGCAAAGACAAAAAAAAAATGACTGAAAAAAAAAACCAGAACAGAATATCCAAGAACTGTGGGACAACTACAAAAATTATAACAAATGCATAATGGAAATACCAGAAGGGGGAAAAGAGATAAAGGAGCAAAGGAAATTTATGAAATAAGAATTACTGAGATTTCCCCCAAATTAATGTCAGATGCCAAACCTTAAATCAAGGAAGTGCAGAGAACACCAAGCAGGTTAAATGCCCATAAAAGACAATGCCAGCAGAATGAGATGACAAGCCATAGACTGGAAGAAGATAGTTGTAAAAAAAAAAATCTGATAAAGGCCTGTTAAACAAAATATACAAAGAACTCTTAAAAGTCAACTATAGTGGGCTGGAATGGGAGTAAAAGGGAGCAAACTGTACTTGAACAATGATTAAAATAAAATTTTTTAAAAAGTCAACAATAAGAATATTAACAACCTGATTAAAAAGCCTGCAAAAGACCTGAATAGACATCTCTCCAAAGTTGCTATACGATTAGTTAATAAGCCTATGAAAGATCGTTCAACATCATGTCCTTACGTAATTGCCAATTTAAACAACAACGAGAGACCACCACATACCTATGAGAATGGCCAAAATTGAAAACAGTAACAACACCAAATGCTAGCGAATATGCAGAGCAATAAAACATTCACTCACTGCTAGCGGGAGTCTGAAATCGTACAGTCACTTTGGAAGATAGTTTGGTGGTTTCTTACAAAACCAAACAGATTCTTAACATATGATGTAGCAATTGTATTCCTTGGTATTTTCCCAAATGAGTTAAAAATGTATGTCCACGCGAAGATCTGCACATGGATGTTTATAGCATAATGGTCCAAACAATTCACAATGGTGAAAACTTGGAAGCAACCCCGATGTCCGTCGGTGGGTGGACGGATAAATAAGCTGCAGTGCATCCACACAATGGAATGTTATCTAGCACTAAAAACAAATGCTTCAAGCCATGAAAAGCCCTGAAGAAAGCACAAATGCTGCATTAATCAGCATAGGCTGCCATAACAAAACACCATAGAAAGCTACAAATCAATAGCCCTTATGGACATAGATGCTAGAAAATAAAAATTTAAAAAACCCCATCTCAACAAATACTAACACTGAATCCAGCAGAATATTAAAAAAAAAAATTAAACACCATGATCAAGTGGGATTTATTCCTAGCATGCAAGGTTGCCTTAACATACAAAGATCAATGTAATACAATGTATGTTGCCAGCACTGGTGTGGCTCAGTGGGTTAAGCACTGGCCTGTGAACCGAAGAAGGGTCATGGGTTCGATTCCCACTCAAGGCACATGCCTGGGTTGCAGGCCAGTTCCCCAGTCAGGGGCGCATAAGAGGCGACCGATTCATATCTCTCTCTCTCTCTCTCTCTCGCATATTGATGTTTTTTTCCCTCTCTTTTTCCCTTCCTTCCTTTCTCTCTAAAAAATAAAGTCTTTAAGAACCATTTAACAAAATCCAGCATCCTGTCACGATATAAACACTGGACAAACTAGGAATAGAAAGGAACTTCCTCAGTCTGATAAGAGATGTCTTTGGAAACCCCACAGCTAACATCGCACTAACTGGTGAAGAATGACAGCCCCCCACTGAGATCAGGAATAAGATAAAAATGTCCACTCTTAGCACATAAATTCAACATTGTGCTGGAGGTTGAAGCTAGAGAAATCAGACAAAAACAAAAAGTAAAAGGCATCCAGATTGGAAAGGAAAAAGTAAAACTATCTCTATTTGTATAAATGAATCATATAAAGAAAAGTAAATAGATAAAAGTCTCCAATTAAAAAGCAGAGGCTGTCAAACTGGATGAAACAAGAGTCTTCTCTATGCTTTCTACTACAGATTTGTTCTAAGTACAAAGCAGATTAGTTGAACGTACGAGGAAAATAGATATATCACAGAAAGAGTAAGCATAAGAAACAGAGTGGCTACGTTAGCGTCAGGCAAAATATACTCGAGACACATAGTACTAAGACAAACAGGGACATTTCATTTTTAAGGAAGACAAAACGAAAGGGAAATGTGGACAAATCCACATCCTAAATGGATATTATAACACCCCCTCTCTCAATAACTGACAGAACTAGGCAAAAAAATTAGAACACAGATGATTTGAACAACTATCCCCTCCATCTAACTGACACTTAGGAAGCATGATACACAGGAACTACATTATTTGCTTCACTTTCACATAGTATGTTTACCCATGTGGAGCACACACAAGGCCATGCAAGTCTCAGTAAATTTCAAAAGATTAAAACCTTTCAGGGTAATTTTCTAACCACAATAAAGCTAAATTAGAAAGCACAAAAATAAGATAGCTAGAACGGCCCCAAAATCTGGAAATTAGGCAATACATTTCCAAACATGGGTGAGGGAGGAAATTAGGAAACACTTTCACCTAAACGATGATGAAAGCGAGCCTATCAGTACTCGCGGGGTGCAGATGAGGCCGTGTTTAAGGGAAGGGTGAGCTATGCATGCTTCTGTTTGAATGCAAGGACATTTCAACATTAATCACCTATATGTCCACTCTAGGAAACTCAAATAAGGAGAGGAAATTAAACTCAAAATAAGTAAAGGGAGAAATAATAGAAATAAAAGCAGAAATCATGACACAGAAAACAATAAAGGAAATTAACAAAGCCAAAAGCTGGTTTGTTAAAAAGGGTTAGCTAAACAGAAAGTGAGGAAATAATATGCAAGTGTATGCTACTAAATTTGACAACTCAGATGAAACGAACAGATTATTTGAAAAACACAACTTACCCAAGCTGATACAAGAAATACAAAATCTGAATAGCCTTCTATCTTTAAAGAAATTAACTTTATAACCAAGAACTTTTCCTTCAAGAAACCTCCAGGTACAAATGGGTGCACAGGTAAATTTAATCAGACTTGAAAGAAATACCAGTCTTACACAGACTCTTCCAGAAAATAGAGGAAAAGGGAACACTTCCCAACTTACTTTATGAGGTCAGCAAAACCCTGATACCAAACCCTGACATAGACAGTATAAGAAAAAGTACAGATAAAATCTTACCAAATCAAACATATATATATATGGATAGATAGATATAAAACCACAACTAAGTGGGGTCTATGCAGGAATTCCAAGTTGACTTAACATTTAAAAAGTGGTATGATTCAAAGCATTAAGAGGGTACTTACACAAGTATACACATAATAAAAACTTAACAAATTGTACCATTGAGTCCTGAGCCTTTCACTGTGTGTAAAGTTGGCCTTGACTACTTTTTACAACAGAGAGGAACAGTGAGATACCGTAATTCCAGGCCACACAGGCTGGTTGCCTTTTTCAGGCCGCTCCTAGTTCATGACCATAAAATCACAACCCCGTCACAAAAGGACACACATCTTTCTCTAATCGAACGTCGTAGATGTCAGCCCATCCAGCTCAGCCCAAACCAACAGTCAGTGACCGAGGGGCAGGTTTCCAGGGGCTGCGGCCGGGAGGAGTCGGAGCCTGTCCCTGTTTCGTGCTGTTCAGCTTCATCCCATCTGCCAAGACTTCGGCCCCCCCACCCTGGCTCTCCTGGGAGTTCAATGCCTCCTCAGAACAGACGTCCCCTGGGTGTTATCATTCCTGTCTGACTGTGATCACTTCAAACAGTCCTGTGACTTCATAGTAACACTTGCGATTCCAACACTGTGGTGCCGAGGGCTTTCTGGCAGGGTTCTTCTGAAATTAACTCAGCCTGGAGGAACCATACCTCTTAGATAATGTCATGTAAGGACTGTGATCTAGAAACTTTCCATCTGAAAGCATAACAATTATCACACTGGTTTGCGTTTGAGGGTTTGGAGAATCAAAGACTGTTGTGGCATTTTCAATATCCTCCAAGTTATGAACTCATAGAACTTGTTCTGTTTTTCTGCCACATTTACTTTTGGGGTCACTTCTTTACACTCAGGGAAAATAATTTTTGTTCTGTATTATATAATCCTTTGGAAAGCTCCCACATGAAATAACTGAATCAAACTGGAATCCGCAGCAGGTCCCAGATTCTGATGGGGTTAGGGGTTTTGTTTGTTTTTCATTCATTAAAACAAAAAGTTGAAGTTCTTACTGGGTACAAGATACCCTGCCGTGCCCTTCGAGACAACAAAGATTAAACAGCTTACAGAGCTCCGAGTTTAGAGAGCTTACAACTAGGAGAGGAAATAAAACATGGACCTCAGTGACTGGCATGTATGTGAGAGAAGAGTGAAAGTACAGAATACATAGAATGGAGTCACTTTAAACAAGCTGCTCAGATTAACATTGTGAAGGCTGCGGCATGAAGAAACAAGCCTGTTCTTGCTGTCAGTAGCCTGGGAACTGACACTTCTGGAACTCTCCAGTCCTGCATCCACGCCTGGCTATGTATCTGGACACGCATCTCAGTGCTCCAGATAGCGATCACCCCCTGAAGCGCTCACATGCACATCCACCAGACATCTGGCTGACGACTCTCGCGGGTGAATCCTAAGAATGCGGGATGGATAGTTCTCAAGAATGTACTTTTTACTCTAAGAGCTCTTAATTTTTCTTTCTTCTTTGGAACACTTCTTGGTTTTTACCTGTGTTCCCCGGATGCAAACTCGAAGACCCCTAAACAAATCTTTATCACTTATTTCAAACAAAGCCTGCAGTCTCTTTGAGTTTGTTTGCCTTACGGCAGAATGTGATAAACATCGGATTTCTCCAGATCCTACGGAGCTGGGAAGACGAGAGAGAGTTGTATGATGGAGGCCAAGGAAGAGGGCCTTGCTCTCGGAGAAAGTGGAAAAGGAGAGGGACCCAGAGTGGAGGGAGCGTGACTTCAGTTGGTGCAAAGAAGCCACGGGAAGATTTTGAGAATCATTCTAATCCAGTTATCACGTTTCTAAAGCGTACAAGCACATTTAAGATGATCACCGAGTGAACCCACAAGCAGAGGCTTCTGCTGGTTTGCTAAACAGACCTCTCAACTCGCTTCTCTGAAACAGTCTACTGTCAAGTAAATTACACTTACAAATATCTCCAAGCTTCCATTTAATGTTCACCCAAGCTGGCACCTATAGCATAACAGTGAAATGTGTTAAGAAAGAAACAAACAAACAAACAACAAGCCAAAATGGAGTCACTTATGCTAAGCCAGATCACCAATCCAAAGCTCACTAACCTAACTGCAGTTTCAGCCTCTCTCTGGAGTGGAATTTTAAGCCAATCAATCTGGAATTCCCTGACCAATACTAGTGAGATTATCTGCAGGATTAAACTGCTGCCACTTCTTTCCCCCACAAGAAGAAGACTGCCCTAAAAATAATCCTTTCTTTTCATTTGCTCATGACTCCCCTGCCGCACCCTCTGCCTATTAAAAACATTCCATTCTGCACACCACCCCTGCGGAGCACCCTTCCAGTTGCTGCACGGGTTGCTGCCCAGTCCATGAATCACTTAATAAAGCCGATTAGAGCCCCGAATTTACTCAGTTCCATTGTGTTAACAAATGAAATGTTCTTCCAGTGAAAAGAGACTGCACAAATGTGCTAAACCAGCTCTGAGCTTGTCGGAAATTTAAGCACACAGTGGGAAGGCCTTGTTTGCCGCGTGTTGTGGGTGCACAGGGCCTGTGCCGGGCCTCGAGTGCTGGGACTTTCTGTGGGCCCAGGCTTTGGCGGGGAGCACTGTCAGAGGTACTGAGGGCTCTCCAAAGAAGGGCCGCCCACGCTCATTCCCGCACGTCTGAGGGAGAGTCCAGATGGGGCAGGGGCGCCTGCCCAAGTGTGCAGGCCCACGCCTCACCAACTCACCAGTAACGAAGAAGGCCTTGTGACGCTCCAGGCGGACCGTCTGCAGGGCTCCGTACTCTCCAGCCGCCCCACTGTTGGGGTGAAACAGCACCTGAGGAAGGGTGGCAGGGCTTACTAAGAAGAAAACCATGCTAGATGCCCCGGGGAAGCATCACTTCCTTTGTCATGATCCCCTTCTTCCCGCCACCCCCACTGTCCTGGCTCCCCCGCCCTGCCTCCCACAACTCCAGCCCTGCCCCAAACACGGACAGACACAGACCCAGAGTCCACCCCAGCCCATTCCTGGGAGCCTCCACGAAGTGGCTGGAGAAGGCTACTGCTCTGGTGAGACCCCTGGGCCCAGTAGCAGCCACGTGATTTGCAGGGTCCTGTGCAGAGTGAGAATGAGAGGAACGGGTCACGGGCCCAGGAGGCCCGCCCTGCCTGGGCTCCACCCTCCAGGTCAAGATGGGGCCCGGGAACCTGTGTGTTTCACACATTCCCAGGGAGTCTGACGCAGGGGATCCTCACATCTCCTTGCCAAATGGCTTCCTCGGCACCCGGGCGATTTTTTAACCCTCACTTGAGCAAGGATGGCATGAGGAGGAGGCACGAGGGGAGGACCTCTGAGTGTGACTTCTCCAGGAATGGGCGCCGCCTAACCTCTGAACTAAACGGGACGTCCTCGTCTCTGACTCAGTTCCACCCCACTCAGACGGAGGGGCCCCTTCCTCAGCAAGTCGCAGATGGAAGAACCCTACAGAATGGAAACACCTAATTCGGGGTTTCCAAGGGCTGGATTTGGCACAAAATAAGTGACCAGTGTCCTTGCTAGGTTGGTGGGTTTAGGCTGGGAGCGGGAGACCGCCCTGGTATGAATCATGACTGATATATACCGCTGGTAACGCGCTTATGTGATTCACAGTTTCCATGGGGCTAAAACAAAAAAATGAGAAACGTCTGTTGGAGCAGTGAACAGCTGTCCCCCGAGTTTCCCAGCTGCGAGAGGATGCCGAGGGTGGGGCTCCTCGCACACCTGCCTGTTCCGTGCTGTGCTCTCGTGACAGCCTCTGCAGTGCCCAGCCAGCATGATGACAGCGGGCTCCTTCCAAACAGGAAAAGAAGCTGTAACTCAAAACCCTCACTTCTTCCAACCCTGCTTCAGGAAGCCAAGCCACTCACCGCAGGAGGCTGTTTGGTTTCCTTCTGGAGAAGGCAGGAAGTGGGAGACTTGGAAAACCTATTGTCAACTGATCTATAATGCACTCCGACATCCAGAAGATGGGGGTCAAGGTCTGCTGGTGCAGACCATTGACATAGCGTCTCAGTAACAGAAATTCCATAGCGTGGGCTGGAATATTTATGCAACGTTACCAGAGGCAACTTCCACAGTCCAAGAGGAAGCTAATTTGGGGATGGCTCACTCTCAGAACAAGGACGGAGTTTGGAAAACTTGTATATGCCTTTTTCTTTCCTTTGCGCAGACTGATTACAGTGTTCTTGTTTGTAACAACATCAGAAGGAGGTTGGCAAATTCACCATGAATCACAGCTGCAGGTATTTCCTCTGCAGAGGACGCCAGGTCCAAATTTCAAAGACGAAACTGTCTTCTGAAAACACGCTGCCCCTTCTTGGTTGCCTTTCTCACCTGTTTGCCTTCTTGCCCGCTATTCCGTGTTCAAGCACTCGAGCATCGCCTTACCTTCGGTCCCGAAGGCTGGCACCTGTGTCACCTGCCCAGAAGGAGGCCCTCCTACCCCACAGGGTCAGGGTGCACAGCTCCTCTTCCAGGAGCGGGCAGCCCTTCGCCAGCCACGCGGGGCAGTGTCTTCCACCACTAGGGGCCTCCCTAAGAGAAGTGATCGGTGTTCAAGAACTAAAATCCAGCTCTGGTCCCTTCAACGTATGGCCTCCGGGGATACGCCAGGCATTTTGGGACCCACGGCAGCCCCCGACTGGTCTGGGCTGGGCAGCGGCAGGGCCATAAAGCAAGCCTTCCCTTTTTGGACTTGTGCGTAGCAACCTGGGGCTGAGATACGACTTGACCAGTGGGGACCTCATGACCACCCACTTCCATCTGGGAGATGGGTGAGTACAAAGTGGGAATTTGATGGCAGGCTGCAGCCCCCCTCTTGGCCCCCCTCTCTCTTCTGTGGTTGCCCTCTTCACCAAGACACAGCTCGGCCAAGATCAGAAACAGAAGGCTCAGTAAACGCAAGAATATGTAGCATGATGTCAGCTGCTTTTGGCTTTGAACATCACATCACGTGACATCCCTAGCTGCCCAGGAAGTGACTAGTGAGAAGATCATTCAGCAGGAAAGCCAGTAGCCCATTAATTTGCCTTTAAACCTCTTCACAAAGGACCTAAAAGGGTGCCAAAAAGTAAGTGCCTCCAGGTTACTTCATTTGCAAAATAGGGAAGAACCCAACTGCTGAAACATATTTGCATATTGTATCAAAATGACTATCTAGAAGGTACTCTGAGCTTTCCGAAACCAAAATGGTTTCCTTCTAAGCCAAGCCATATCAGAATCCTTTTAAGCCCAGGATATAACTAAGGGTGGCCACAATTAAATTGTGCTTATTTAAAAACGCATGTGTACACATGTATGTACATGTGTGTATACACATATAAATATGTGCGTATATCTATATGATCACTCAGTTTTACCTCTTGGCCTTCCTTAAGCAAATTACAGATGATTTAGTATAGTCTCTTTAGTAGTTGACCAGAAAAGTCCAAGGCCAAATTCAGACCGAGGCCAACAGCTACCTATGTTGTCTTCAATCTCCAAATAATCTTACAGCAAGCGTCTTCGCTCACACTGCCAGAACCCAGTGCTCCGGGAGGCTGGGAGTGGCCCACAGGTGCCTGCACCCACGTGCTTTTGCTCTTGAAGCTCTCGGCAGTAGCTTCTAGCGAGAAGTAACCGTGGGGATTTCCATCTGGGCTTTGGGGTGCGGCCAGTCCAACTCCAGCTGCATTACCACATATCATGCGTTCCCACATACCATGGGTTCCCACGAAAAGCCCAAACGGTGTTGCGGTTTGTGTCTGGTCTTTGTTCCTGATTCCTCAGCCCAACCCCTCTGGGCACTAGACCAGTAACCGCTGAGCCTTGCGGACGGGGCCTCCGCGTGTCTGCAGACTTGAGACAAAGCGAGCGGTCTCCCCTCTGAGAACGGAAGTCGGTGCAGAGGAGCTGGCTTCCACAGGCAACCGACAGCACGACCACAGTCCTTGAAGCACTTCCTGGTGACCCCAATTATTCTATCGGTAGCCGTGGTGACAAACACCCAGGAGCACCTTCACTGACGTCCTGGATACTGACGTCACAGCCTGCAAACTTCCAGCCTGAAGGAGGAAACCATCTTCCTGCTGCTGCTGCTCAGGAGGGGGGCCCGACCGGGGAGGGTCTGCAGCTCTAGAGCATCAGATATTCCGGAGAGAAGCGTCCTTCTCCGGGGGACCTGCCAGGCATCCTCTGGCAACACCTAGAAGCTAATGAGTGTTCAGAAGCACCGACAGCCCTCTCCGGCTTGTGGGGGTGGGCCGAGTGGCAAGGGCAGCTTCAGCCACTGCCCCAGTACATTTGAGCAGCATTTGAGTCATTTCCGTGTGACCTCCTTGATAAGACGTAAATATAAATAGACCCTTTGATGTGTGCGTCCCTAACTGAGGAGGCCTGTGCTCACGGAGCTTTAGAGAGGGGGTTCCAGTTCCTCTGTCCTCCTTCCCTCCTCCCACTTCCTCTTCCCCTTTTGGCGAAAGGAAAGCACGCAGAAATGACGAAGAAAGGTCATCGGGTCTCCCATTTCTTGGCTGTGCTTCAGAGCACCTGAGGAGAGGACACTGGGGTGCCGGGGAGCACAAGCCCCCAGCTAGTGTGGAGGCTGCAAGGCCTCATGCTGGGCTCTCCAGGAGCCGGGGACCTGTCCCTGGCACCCAGAGGTCTCCCACAGGGAATCAGCACCATCGTGCACCCGCCCTCCACCAAATCGTTAGACACAAATCTGGCCTGGCAAACCGGGCTGCTTATGGGGGAAGGAGAGAAAGAGGTTCAGCTCTGAGGAGTCACCCTCGGGGGCTCTGAAACTGGATGTGTGGTGACCACCTGCGTGCACCTCCTGAGGATGGCTCTGTCCACACAAAGGTGAACAGGCCTTGGGCAAGAGGTGGCAGGTCCACCCCCTGAAGGGCCCGAGATGGGTACATAAGTCCTCCACTTACCCTGTGTCCAGTCTTTGAGCGGCCAAAGAGCACCTCAGAGGCATCCAGACCATCGAAGTGTCGGCCCTGGGGCAGGCGGGCCCCAGCCAGGGCCAGCACGGTGGGGAATATGTCCAGCACGCTGCAGGAAGAGTAAGGCAGCCTTGGACCCAGACGGTCCCAGACTCTCTCCCCGGCCATACTGTGGTGAAGACCCGCCGGAACAGGCCCAAACCCAGCCTCCAGTATGCCCCGCCCCCTCCACCTCCCTGTCCTTCCTCCAGGTTCCACCTTGATTTCTGCTCCTACAAGGGGCAGAATGGGCTCCTACAAGGGGGATTCAGCACCAGGCTCCACAGTCAGGGTTGCCTGGGCTCAAATCCCAGTGCCGCCACCTGTCCAGCTCCTCAGGGCTTCAGTTTCCTGTTCTCTAAAATGGGCATAATCATCACAATAAAGGCACGGAGAAGAAGCTGGCACTCAGAAAGCACTCTCTGAACATCCATGTCCTGACTGCTCACAGGGGCACCCCCTGGACCCATCTCAGCGGTTCTGCCTGTCACCAACTAGGCCACAGCCACTCCCTGAGCGGGTACAGTGTGTGACAGGTGTCTGCAAGAGAATGTGGACTTCGTTTTCCTTCCCTGGGTCTCCATGTCACCAATCTCTAGTCTTTGTTCAGAAGCCCGTGATGCGTGACACATTCCTTCTCCTTTACCTTAGCTCTTTGTCCGCATTATAAAACGTAAGTTTATGAAGGAAAAGGAGCAACTCCGGACACGTGCAGGACGAAATAACGCACACACAGGCCACCCCCACGGGCAGCCATGGGTAACACTTGGCTGGATTTTGTTGGTATGACTTTCTTTAACTCGCACGGTACAATCCAACTCGACTCTAGCGCACATCTCTGCCCAGCCTGCTGGAAAGAACTGACCGGCTGCCCTTTCGGCAGAGCTGCTGATCTGGGGGCCAGGCCAGTGAAGAGTCGGAGGGACTTGATGGAGCCCGGAGGGCAGGGCCTCCGTGAGGCTGGACACCCCCAGGCAGGAGGCTGTGGTTGGGCCGGGGCTGGTGCAGCAGCAAACTTCAGACACTTCAGACACTTCATGGGGGGCCTGAAGGGTCTCACCTGCCCCTTTCCCCACTGGGCGTCTGGCAGAGGGAGCGCTTCCCCCCAAAAGGGGCTGCAGGTGGGACCTGCCCCACACCTCCTCCTCCCTCTGCCAGCCTCCTTCTCCTCCCCAGGGCTCTGCCTACAGCCCCAGGCGGAATCTCTCCTCTGACTACAGTACAGAGTGTCTCCAATTTGCCTTCCTTTTTCACAGTCCACGTAGCTGGCGACCTATCTCTCGAGATACGTGCTCCAGGAGCTGGCACCGCACACTGACACAGCGTCGAGGAGTGCAGGGTAAGCATTTGCCAAGTACGGCACAGTCCAGAAACCTGTCCAGAGTCCAAGGTTCCTGCCACAAACCGGGCAGCACGGAGGACTGCAGTGCGGCATGAAAAGGCCCCGGCGTGGTTGGGGCTGGTCGTCTGAGCTTTCTCTAACTCATGCCCCTCGGAGAGGTCTGTGTCCAGATGGGTCACATCAGTGAGCAAGAGGAACAGGGCCTGTGTTAGATTTTGGAAGGCATGGTGCACTTTCTTTTTCCGTCTTATTTTTTCCCCTGTGTCATGAGGCTTGGCCTCCTAATTATACCGCACTAAGTCTAATGTTCTCGGAATCCTGTGTCTCAGAGTTTACCGGGAAGCCTGTCCACCCAGCACACACAGGAGACCTCTGGCCCACAAGAAAAGCGTCAGTGCCTCCGGTGACTCGCCAGTCCCAGCACTGCTTGGCACGCTCGGCTGTCCCCAGCCCTTGTTCATGTGAGGGAAGGAGCCAAGCCCCGGAGGCTCCCCTGCAGGAGGGAGGTCCTCCCAGGAGCACACAGTCCCGGAGCCTCCCCAGGCCGGCCATGACCGTGGGGGAACGCCAGCTCTACAAAGGCTGCCCAACGACCCCAGCTGCTCCAGACTTCAACCCACACCTCAGAATTTGGTCCCCGGAGTCTTACAACCTTGAAAAAAGAGAGAGAAAAAAAATCCAAACCTGACAGTTTCAAAGGTCTGCAGTTCATGATGCTACTCGAGGTGGGGGCTCTGGGCAGGGCCACAGCTGACGGGTGCGGGACCAGCCACCACTGCCTTCTCGAGTCCTTCCCTCCACACAAAATACCAAAAGCACATTTCACAGCCGTGTGGATGTAAACACGCATATATGGAGTATGCACAGAGCCATTTTCTCCAACCTGAAAGTTTTTTTCTTTCTTTCTTCTGGTAAAACTTTCACGTGCTCCCAAAGCCTTATTGGCCCCTGGCACCGGGCCTCCTGAGCCCGACAGAGAAGTGTGCCCTCACATTAGAAGGAAGAAAGCCGCCTTTCCATGGTCCTTTGGTGGTGAGAAGGGCAGCCAGGGGCCTGCCCATGGAAGGAGGGGCTGAGGCTCCTCTGCTCGAGGACATGAAAGGCTGCCATCGGAGTGGGCAAGGGCGCCTTTGCAGGTTCTCTTGCCTGTGTGAAAATATATTCCTCTTTTCTTGCCATGGCTTCCATCAGCCCAAGGCACTGAAGGCTGTTCAGAGGAAGTGTGTGTGTTAGTGTTCTTATCCAAGGAGCTGCCAAGGAACCTGGGTGCAGAGACTGGGTGATAGACAGAAGGATGTGGGAGGGCCCCGCCCCAGCAGACAGGGTGGGGAGGGGCGCTGCAGGGCTGAAGTGGAAGCACCTGGACCTCAGGACCCAAGCTGATGGGAACTGAGGCGCTGCGCTGGGTAGCCCTGGGTTGGAGTGCATCCTAGGGCAAAGGAGCAGGTGGGAAGGGACAGGTTTCCTAGAAAGTGGGGTCATTACATCTGGGGAAAAGGTGGATGTGATCTGAAGGCGAGGGGGGGGGACGGTGAGGGGGCTGCTGGCTGGGGGTGCGTGGGACTGGACGCGGTGAGGGGGCCCGGGGAGGGCAGGACTTCCTCCAGACCATGGAAAAGCGGGAAGAGTCCCTAGGACGTGAGGGGCAGTGTTTTCAGTGTTTAGTTTTAAGGTTCTTCCTGCACTGTAATTCCCTCTCGTTTCCCCTAGGAAAAGCTAGGTACCCGCCCCTTCCTGGCGCAAGCGGCTGCAGAGGTTCGAGGGGCCGCGGCTTCCCCCAGAGCGTCAGCAGAGCCCGACAACGGCAAAGTGGGCACGTTCACCACAGAGCCCGTGCGGCTACCTCCACGTCCCCCCCCCCAACTGCTGCTCCCTGCCCTGTCGGGAAGTGGGGGCGAGGCAGCACTTTCTGGACACGTGGCTTGACCCTGCCCAGGGGTGACACTTCTCCTTGCAGCTCCTATTTCCAGGACACGTTTCTGTAGCTCAAGACTGTACGGAACCCGTCAAATCCTGCTCCACAAGACTGCCTTTCGGGTGTCAGAACAGAGCCGCAAGGCTCCCCAGGGGATTATCTGATCTCCTGGCCAAACAGCAGCTTTAGCTGTTTTTTGAATGGGATTGTTTCGAGTTCATACCAAGCTGGTCGCCCTGTACTTGCCCCAGTAATCTCTGACAGAGAGGTCCATGGCTCTGAGCAGACGGGGGGCTCCCAGCTCGGATGCAGAGCAGACCCTTCCCCTCTTTACACGTAAAGCTCTGGTTCTTGACCAGCCTGAGCCTGTCCCCCCGGGGGATGTGTGGAGCTGCGTGGAAACCTTTTGGTTGTCACAAGTGGGGAGGGGAGGGGTATGACTGGCATCTAGTGGGTAGAGGCCAAGGGTGCTGCTAAACATCCTGCAGTGCTCAGGGCAGCCCCCACGACAGAGAAGGAGCTGGTCCCAAACATCCACAGTGTGAGGTCGAGACGCCTGCCCTCACGTTTCAGGTCCAGACCACGGGCCGGCCTTTCCACATGCGCTGCCCCAGACCCGCCCTCCTGAAGGGAGGCCAGTGCCTCAGCGTCAGGAGCATCTGTCCCGAGAGCAACGCTTGACCTGCAGATGGACACAGCAATAAACATCTGTTGCATGAACAAATCCCCCCACTCTCTGCCTGTGTCACTGGACTTTGGGGTCAGGGCACGTGCAGACCTTCCGTGGATCTCACTCCATCGGACGGTGCACCCCGAGCGTGAGCACGGGTTATCTCTGAAAGGAAACCCACGGCTCCCTTCTCTCCTGCGTCCCCCTTCCAACACAGTCTTTACTTTTCTGTGTCCATGTGAATACTTTTGTCAGCTCATCTGCTCTCCGGTGTTCATAATTCCTCAGGGCCCACAGAGCACAGGCTAAGCGACTCTGGCAGTATCTGGGAAGGCCTACGTCCTCTGAGCTGTGCAGCACTGGAACTGTGACAAGCACTCGGGGTTGGGGGGTGCTGGGTCCCCAAGAGTAGGAAGTCTTGGCATAAGTTTCTCCTTGGCGCTGACCACTAGGACACGGTGGAAAAGGCAGCAGACGTGGGGTGGCCTGTCCTGGCAGTGAGGACGCTCCGCCCAAATATGCATGGATTCACATGGGAAAACAGCAAGAGGGTGGATTCTACAGGGACAAACTGTCCTGCTACAATCCAGGCTGATTTAACACCAGAAAATACCCTGCGAGGGGCAGATATAGTATACTGGCACAATCCCGGTAAAAATCCCAGGGGCCCTCCAGCAAATGTCACCCTGTACCAAGACTCACTTCCTCTGGGCCCCAAACTACCCCCTAAGTCACCTCTGAGTCTCTAGGTGACCAACGAGATGATGCAGCTTTATCATGCTGCCGCGGCTGGCTCTCAGTGTAAACACTGTTCTCAGATGAGAAGCGCGTGCTTGGTTTTCGGTGATGTAACGTGAGAGGCGGCCGGGCTGTTTGTGCGTGTACAGCCCAGCCTGTGAGCACTTGGCCTGCCTGCGTGCACCAAGTCAGCCCCACGAGAGGCAGCCCGCCTGGCCCTCTTCCCGGTCGGCCTGACATGACAAGACTCCAGCCCCTCCCGACTACACGGGGCTGACAGAGTCCCGGGGCCCGCAGGCTGCCAGGGTGGTGCCTTCCCACTCCCTGCTCTGGCCACCAGAGCTGTGCACCCTTCCTTTGCCCTGGGCTTCAGTTCCCCCCTCCCTCACACCAGGTCTGGGGGTGCTAAAAGGGGCCCCGTGAAGCTTGCTTTCTTCTACTGGCTGTGTTCTTTAGGCCAGTACCGATTTGGTAGATGACGGAGAACCTGTGGAAATAGTAGATTTGTCTTCAAGCAGACTGAAACCTCCAAGCACATGAGCAGACGCTGGCTTCTGCTGAGGGTCCGTGCCAGTGAACACAGGGCAGGACCAGGACTGAATGAACAGGAAGTCCCCAGTACAATTACACAGCTACATGGCACTACAGCACAGCTTTCGGAATGGCCCACCCGCAGCCAAGTTCTGTGCCAAGGAGAGGGCCTCCTGGATCTGCTTAATAAGGAGCTATGAGTGATGGGGAGATGTCACACTTCCAGGTGTCCTTCTGATGCAGGAAGCACCCAGCGACCTGCCGCACTGGAGAGGCCTCACTGCGAGAGGCAGGAAGATTGTCCTCGCCTCGGGATTCATTCCCACCTCACCAGCCTGGTGGCGTCACCTTCTCCCTCCCCTACAGGGCAAGTGCACATCACATTCCTTTCTTGGGGCCCTGTGGTTGCCCATGAAATGCTGGCTTCACACAGCCACCCCCAGGACACCCGCCGCCCCCCAAGGATGGAATCATGACAGCTCAAGTGGTCTGTCCCTCCCGTCAGCTTGGGGCAGGGCAGAAGGAGAGGCCGCTGCCCTCTCTGCCGCTGCCTTCTCTTCAGCAGACACACCGCCTCGACCCAGCGCTGACGGCCATAACACCTGCCCAGTCCGCTCTGCACCCAGACGTCAACCCAGGCGGCTGGGAAAGACTCCACCGTGTATCACTTAAACGAGCACACGGGATTGCTGACAGGCAGATCCGAGCCGCCACGATCTGAGCTCGGCACCGAGCACACTCGGGAAAGGCAGGTGCTGGGTGAGGTCTCTTCCCCAGATCTCTAACCACTCAAGCGTCCGTGATTTTTTTTTGTGGTCAATAAACCCCAGCAAGTCCAGGTGGCTTGGGTCTCTTACCTTAACAAGGCAGTGCTGGTGACATTGGTGGGGATTCTGCCAGGCCAGTAAGCCACAGCCGGGACCCGGTGCCCTCCTTCCCAGGTGGTCTGCTTGGCCGGACTGCCCCCTGCGGAAGGAGGGGAGACGGGTGGTTCTTCAACAGTGGCAACTCGGGCCTTCCCTTCATCTCAGAGCTACCTACCATGTGGGACAACAGCCCCGCTCTAAGAGGACTCTCCGAGAGCTTCCGATCCTTACAACAAAGGAGTGGCTTCTTTTAGTAACCCGCTGTGTTGATTCAACTGGTTAGTTATCTTTGAATGCGTACATTTATTTTACTGGACTCAACACATGTAAGTAGTTGCCTCAGTCACTCTTATACAATCCCATCACTGCACTTTCTTCATGACACTTCACACTTCAGATTGTCTGGCTCACGGACTTGCTTCTCGCATGTCTCCACACCATGAGACTTCATCAGTTTTGGGTACCAAGACGCAGGTACTTAACAAATACTTGTTAAATAAATGAATTTGTCTTCCTACTGATCATAATGTAATGTATCTGTTTAGGATGAAAAAACACAATTGTTTGAGAAGAGAGACAGACAAAAGTTCCCCGGCTATTTGATCTGCCCGAAGCCCAACAACTGAGCTGGCATGGGCTCTGTTGTTGTATTTTACTTTGCTTTGCTTCGTTTTTCCTTGAATTAAAGAGTTGTTCTGGTGTTGTGGAGACAGCCTTAGTAATAGCTCCGACCTCTTGCCTCTCAGGGGGAGGCAAGAACAATCTATGTGCAATCTATGAATTTCCACTTTGGTAACTAAAGGAATTCCTTTTGTAACCACTAAGTCTTTTTGTGGCCACCAGGATAATGATGACCAGCGGGCTGGAAGAGATGAGCTCATGTTTTATGGAAACATCCTGAATACACACTGCCTCGAATTAACCATGACCATCCCCACCACTCCCACACACACCCCACCCTCATCCCTGTTGAGCCAAGGATTCCACAAAGTTCGCGTGTAGAGAGCCCTGCCAAAGCAAACGTGTATGTGGCTCACACATACTGTGGTCATGCAACTCCCCAGCCTGGCTGGCGTGGATGTGAAAGCGATGGGGATGAGAAGGGCGGGCAACGAGTCTTCCGCAGCCCTGCACTCACGCTGAACCTTTGATGTCCCTGGCCCGGCACACCACAACGGAAATGCTCAGCATTCTTGCGAGTTTCTCATGACGGGCTCTGGAGTCCCCCCAGTGTTGAAGCGGGAAACGAAACACAGAACAACTCCCCCTCCCATGGACTGCTCATGTTTAGGGGCGAAGGGGCTCTTGAAACCAAGTGGAGCTGTGCAGGCTCAATGGGAAGCTCTTTGCCCGGGGCTCAGAGTTCTCAGATATAGTCTTCCCAGCGAGAGCCACATCTTCCACAAACACATGCAGTGCCCACTCCCAGGTACTGACACACACGGAAAGGAGAATCCAGGACCACAGAAAGCACGAAACGCGCTCCCACGCGGCTTCAGAGGGCTTAAATTATATCACGGCTTAAGGCCAAAGAGCAGGGAGACAGGAGGTGTTCACATTTGCACATGCTAGGGTTCTGCAGATAATTCCACCCCATGAGGGGCATTATGTGGAAGCCGGGGGTGGGGGTAGGGATAGGTGGGTGAAATACAGAACCTGTTTCTTTGCATGTTCATGATGCACAAAATTCAACAGGTGTGCTTGGCCCTGGAGGACAGGTGCTACAAGGTGAAGGCTTCAGTTCCAAGAAATAAGCCGTTAGTTCTGACAGTCAACCAGCAGGCAGGAGTGAGAGCCTGCGTGGCAGCAGGTGAGGGGCACCGGAGTCGGCACCGGATGCGGTCTGTGCCTCCGGGATGTTTCCAGAACAGTCCACTGGCCCCTAATTAATGCATCTGCTAATTGGTCTTTACCACTAGGGGATCTGCTGGTTTGCCACAAGCTTTTGTGTTGCTCCTTTCAGGCAATGGACTTCCCTAAGTTGTGTTTCAGAGAAAAACACTTCAATATGTTTGCCTTATTTCAGCAAAGGGTTGAAAGCTGGAGGGGTTAAAAGAAATTCAGCCAGTTATAAAACGTGCATATGTCAACCAAGTAAACCATCCACAGGGCAAAGATTCAGGACTAAGAGAAACAGAGAAAGAGGTTGGCTGAGTGAAGCCCCGCGGTGCGTCCACTTGAGGGCCCATCCCCCTCTGTGTCGTCAAGACCGGACAGAAAGTGCTGGCTGCACCTTGGGTTCTGGCTCTAACTAACAGACACAGTCGTACATCCCAGCCATGCCCAGAGACCTAGTACTCTAAAGCAACTTATCTGAAAGGTGTCCAGGATGTGGGTAAGCAATTATAAAAATATACATCCCTCGCAGCACGGATACTGTCTTACTCGGAACCCCGGTATCTCAGTGGCTCTGCTGGGGATGGACCAACGAAAAATCTGACCAGCATTCTCTGTGGGTTCCCAGCGTCATGGAGTCTGATTATCTGAATAACAAGGCTCCTTGTGGTTTATCTGCACTAGCAAAGGCTGGATCCCAGGATAGCTGCCTCTGGCCCCCCGGTACTCTTCATTGATTATGTATTCCTAGGAATGGAAACTCATTTCCAGTTAAACGCAATAATAACAGTAACAACATTATCTCTTATTGACTGAGCCCTAGTTAAGCACCAAATTAAGCATTCCTAAGCATAATGCTGAGAGCTTCCCTGAATTATCTCATTTAATCCTTATCATGACCTTTGAGCCAGGTACTTATAAATCCATCTTTCAAATGAAGAAACTGAAGCTCAGAGAGGTTAAGTAATTTGCTCTAGGTCACACAGCTAGCAAATGCTAAGAGCCAGAATTTGAATCCAGGTGTAACTACACAGCCAGCACTCTCACCCATTAAATGTTCTAGGCCGGTAGCACCCACCCACCCCTGAATGCGTATTAGAATCACTAGGAGATCAAAAGAAATAGCCACACCTAGGCCCCTTTCTGAGGACTCGTGATTTGATTGGCCTGGGATGTACTCCTGCTGACTGAAGGTGAAGAACACCCATTCCGGAAGTAGGAGGGCAGGGGCAAGATCAGAGAGTGGGCATGATGTTTTTCAAAACTATAGGTAGCCTAGTGCCCACACCTTTATACTTTTAAGACACAGGATCATAAATACAAACCTAGACGTTATAACAAGAATAATAGATAAGAGGTCCACAGATTAACTTCCTATGCGCTTTCTGATTCCAAGAGCGATTTTTTCAATTTAGATAAACCTTACTATTTCAATCAGCAGTACTGGCACATAAGAAGTGTTAGCTGGATATGGCTTTCTGTTGAGAACGCATTTCAAGGCACTTGTGGTTAGTTATGACTCTAATTAAGGCAGAACCTCTTACTTAAAGCAATAAATATTTAGCCTCAGCAACCAAAATATAAACAGAACCATGATTCATGAACTTGCTTCCTTGTTCTTCCCTGGCTACGGAAGTGAAGTGGCATTCCCTGATGCGCGGAGACAGCGCAAGCCAAGGAAGACTCACTTGGCCCATACTTGGGAATAGCAGTCTCTCCCAGAAAGGACACAAGTGCTGCGTGGCACTGACTCAGAGAGACAGCGCTCACGACCTCTCGGGGTAGCAGAACCACCAGCAGAACCCTGGAGATGCTGATTTAATAAGCCTAGGGTGGGCCTCTGAGTCTAGGTAATCCTGATCTCGGTGGTCTGAGGGCCAGAGTGTGAGAAGTGTACGCAGGTGCGCCTGCAGAGTGTGCAAGTACGCAGGAGGCACCCTTTGGAATCAGGCAGATGTCGGGTCTCGCCTCAGGGCCACCCCTCTTCAGTGCGTGGCCTTGGGCAGAACTCTTAAGCTCCATCAGACTTGGTCCCCTCAGTCATGCAGGGAAGACGTGATGGTGCTTCCTGCATGGGGCTGTGGGGAAAGTCACATTAGAGAATGCGTGTGGAGCTCAAAGCAGGTCCTTTGGCTGGTGCCTGCCGTGGAAGTGCCAAACAAACACCATCCAAACAAACAAACAAACAAAACGTTGCCTACAGATAGAACACAGCAGAAGCTGCAACCTGGCAGCTCACACACGTAGCTTAGCCCTCTGACACTTGGCTCAGCGTGGATGGTTTTGTTGTCATTGTTGTTTTTAATTAACTTTGAATGTCATTAGACTGGACCCCGCCTCTGGCTTCCTGCATCCCTGACACGGCCCACACTGATGAAAGAGGCGTGTTCATTTCTACCACCTGCCTGGCCCACAAAGGCATTTGTATCCGTGACCCGGGTAGAAGAACCGCCTGTTCCGAGGAGTGTGCATTTTATAACCTTCTAAAGCAGCAGGCTTAATTTCTAAATATAAAATGTGCCCTTGCCAAGGATGCCTGTAGCATGCTGGTTTTCTAGAAACAAAAGGCCATCGGGCCAATGACTCTGGCTGGCCTGGTGTGGCCTTAAGTGTGATGAAGGGGACATTTCAAGCCTGGTGGCCAAAGGCCCGGAAGGACACACAATTCAGCTTCCACTGGGTCCCCACCAGCTGGCCCTTTCCCCAACCAGGGGCCAAGAGCCAACATGCCTTGTCCCTTGCTCCCTCACCGCCCCCCACCTCTGACCTCCCTGCACCCCTCCCTGTACCCCACACTGGACAGAAGGCCCAGGATGCAGAGCCTGCTTCCCAGTGGGAAAGGTTATGCAACAACCTGATAGCATCAGATTACAAACAACCAAGGTCTCCTAGAAGCTGAGGATGCCAAATTCAACAGAATGTTTCCTCATCACCAAAGGGGAGGAAAAAACAGTTCTGCTCTTCAAATAAAACACACACACACACACACACACACACACAGTTTCCAGACAGAAGAGCAATCTGTCAGGGACAAACGAGGTGCTACTTCTGTCCTGGGCGGGAAGCAGATCCAGGGTGGGAAAGAGAGCGACGGCTGCTCTGAGCCCAGCCCAAGCGGGCCCGTGGGCTGGGGGTCAGCAGTCAGCGGGCACCTCGTGTCCTCTTTGTTTGGGAGAAGGCAGGGCCCCCTGGGTTGTCCCCCCCACCCCCCAGTTCGGTTTCTCCTCACCCCTGCAGGGTGCAGGCCAAGCCCAGGGGAGCACC